CATTAGCTGGTCATCTTCACAGCCATGGAAATGCCCAAATGTATTTGGATCGTTTCTGTCGTTATCAAAGAAATCTCGGAGTTAGAGATTGGGATCATGCAATTATGCTTACGGGGTATATCTTATAATCATGTAATCATTTCATTATATATCTTTGTTTGAAGATATGATATTCATCGTGGAGCTGGAAGTCGTTCCATTTCCGGTATTGCACGTCTTGATGGTATGTGCGATCCATGGAATACATGTACATTGGCTGAAGGTCTCGATTTCACTTCAGCTTTTATTGGAACACACGAACTTGGACACAGGTTAGTAGGCACATTTTGGAAGTTTTTAAAGTTTTCATTCGATAACATTTCTGTCAATAACATGAAATTATCAACGAAAAGGTAACTCGTTCAAAATCGAAATGACAGCTTACGAGTTAGATGAGCCATGTTGTGAGAGAATAAATTATAAATAATAATTTATATAATAGCCTATTTAATTTATATCAACCGTTCATTGTCGTTAACAACGTACAATATGACCTCGAGAGCGTTTTAAATGTGTCCACGTGGAAACTGCACGTGAACTGTCTAAGCACGTGCATCATCATAATTGAATTATGCAAATGAGATTAATTTATAAACTAGGGTTTCATTTTATCATTTTAGTGTTGGAATGAGACATGACGAACCTTATTGTCCTTCAAAACATATAATGAGTTCCTCACTTGGACCTGGAAAGGTCACATGGAGTACGTGTTCATTACGTGATTATCACCAATTTTTACAACGGATGGAGTAAGTTCTATCAATTCGATTAAAATAATAACAAATTGTTATTCAACAGTGCCCGCGGAAGAAACTGCTTGAGAGTATCGAACATGCCAACCAAGTTATCAATTCCAGTAAATATAAAGCCTGGCCAAGTATATGATGCTAACTTACAATGTGAATTAATGCATGGCGTTGGCTATCGTCAGGTATGGTGATGCTGATCTATCATTCAAAATTATTTTTATTAAAAAAAAGTTTTTTTATTTGGAAAAAAAGTGAAGGCAAATTCAAACAGGTAGTATCGTTCTCATTTTGACCTTGCACTTCCGTTTATCAAATTGTTTTTAAAAGACAAAAGAATTTATTTTGAAAGAGAATTTTAAAGGTTACTCCTCGACAAGATTCGTTTGATGGAATATGCTATATGATGTGGTGTGGTCAATCAAGCTTTGGTCGAATCATCACATCACATCCAGCACTCGAAGGTTCTTGGAAGTATTGAGTTGATGAAATCATAATTATTATCAAATTAAAGGAACTTTCTGCGGCCCAAACAAATGGTGTCAACTCGGACGGTGTGTTCCATGGCAAGGACAAGGTCCTGCACCGGTCACAACAACCACAACAACGACTCAAGCACCATTCCGTTACCCAGTATCTACTACTTCGCAAACCACAACTACAACCACTTGGAATATTCCTAAGGTATTTCTAATCATTTTCTTTCTCCAAAACTCTTTTTGTTCAGAAAGTTGATGGAGGATGGTCTGGTTGGTCTGGCACGAACTGTAATGCATGTTCATGTTCTCCAATTCGTAATTCCATTGGATTGGCAGTCACCAGAAGAACATGCTCAAGTCCTTATCCAATCAATGGGGGTGAAGATTGTATCGGAAGTTCACTTCAGGCTATTGTCTGTAATCGTCATTGTTCTTCAACACAAAGCGTTGAACAGGTGAGAGTTTTGAACTTTAGGATCAAAGCTTCTTTTTACTTTCAAGTTTTAAGTTGTTCAATTGACTTAAACCATTAGGAGGGCCTTGAACAAAGTGCCGCCAAAAACATGTCAAACCCAATTAGAGCGCGAATAGCTTTTTTTCCTTTTTTTGTCGCCAATTGAAAACAGGGTTAATCCTTCATTTGCTTCTTCTCTCAAGTAATCAAGGGGTTTAATTATTAATTATTTCAGTATATTGCCGAGAAATGTACTGAGCACAAACGACTCAAGAACGATAACGATTTGACAGGAACAGGAAGTCAGCTTAACCGTTATCCTCAAAGAGCTTGCAAAGTAAGAAATCGTTCTTTCATTACTTGTTTACAACAGTTAAACCTGTTTCACTGAAAACTTAATGTTGATTTTAAGGTTTTTTGTGATGTTGCCAATCGATTTGGAAGTCAAAGAAATTATCGTTTCTTCGGCGATAATCTTCCAGATGGAACATCGTGTGGATATGATCGGTATTGTTTAGATGGAGAATGCATTGTAAGAATCACATCAGAATTCTAATAAGTATCATAATCTACTATTTTCTAGTCTTTGTCATGCTCGAATAATGCTTTGATCGGAAGAGATTTATCATGTCCTTCGCAAACTTGTATACAACCAACTCCTCCAAAACCAGTTCAACCCCAACAAGGAACATTAGGAATATGGAGTTTGTGGACTCAATGTTCTGTGACATGTGGTGGTGGATATCGTAAAAGGTAATTATCATAATTGATTATTTGATTAGTCAATTGACTTTCAGATCTCGAACTTGTACTGGTGGTAAATGTACGGATAATCTAACAGACACTGAACAATGTAATAAGGAAGCGTGTCCAGTTGATGTGGATGGTCCAAACAGGTAAAAATAACGTTTTTCCCTAATCCAAAAATGGTCATGACCTTATAATTCGGCGATGATCATCTTTATAATTACGACAGAAAATGATAAGCAATCATTTATCTTGATGGCTATCAATCAATAATTGAATTTATTATAGTTGGACAACGTGGACGGAATGGAACCAATGCTCAGTTTCATGTGGTCGAGGCTCACAAGCCAGATATAGGAAGTGTATGACACCTCAGAGAACATTGGCATTTGATTGTCGTGGTGAGACCAAAGCTTCCAAAAAAGCTTCTGCTAACATAAACTCTTCTGATGATGAAGATGATGCAGTCCGAGTAACATATTTTAAAGGTGCTTTACTAACATTCAATAACAACCTAAGGCTAAGAATCGACCCCGGAGAACAGCTTTGCTTTAATGCTTAGATTAACAAACCGCTTACAACCATCTAGCTTGAGCTTTTTTTCAAATTTTCGCTCATTCATCCTGAATATTTTGTAGAAAAAAGCATCGAAGTACGTCGTTGCGATGCTGGTCCTTGTAACGCTATTGGCGTTTGGGGATCATGGAACGATTGGTCAACCTGTTCAACCTCTTGTGGACCTGGAATCATGGTTCGTCAGAGAACTTGTGCAAGAGAACCTTGTGACGGATCTGCTCATGAACGTCGTTCTTGTAACAAAGGAGTTTGCCCTGTTCGTCCGAGCAACAATCAATGGTCCACTTGGAATGGCTGGAGTGAGTGTAGTCGAGTATGCGGTCGTGGTATTCGATCTCGAAGCCGGTAATTTTCATGAATACAATTTCTTCATGTACTTTCTGAGTTTAGAAGTTGTCTTGGAGGAGATTGCTCTGGTCCAGCTAGTGAACAACAGTTCTGTAACGAACAGCCATGTCAAACAAAAACAGCAGGAGATTGGTCTATCTGGTCGCAGTGGTCACAATGTTCTGTCAGTTGCGGAGCTGGAGTAAGTGCTTTAAAAGCTTTTAGTGTTGCAATTTTGTTGAATTTGATCGAATTAGTCATAACATTGTCTATATTTTAGGTCAAACGGCGAACTCGCTTCTGTCAGACCGGAAACTGTCCCGGAAACTGGAAAGAGTCGGCCATTTGTAATGACCGTGAATGCGAGAACAGAAATGCAGCCTGGGGAGGTGAGGATGAGAAAGACATGAAAATGACTGAGGATAAAAAAAATAATGATGAGCTAATGAACAGAAAATTAAAGAAAAAAAAGAATACACAAGATGATTCTGACGCAGAGGACATGCAAGAGAACTTCTAAAAGTAATTATAGTGTGATGAGTGCTGTGTTTTCATTTTATGTACCTCCATCTACCACCCTTTGCACTAGATTTTTCGTTGAATGATATTTTTTAGTTTTAGTGTGAATTCTTTCAGTTTTGTCTCTGCAACAAAGTTTTCATTTCAATTTTATAGGCTGGGGATATTGGTCAACTTGTTCTGAGACTTGTGGTGAAGGAATCCGTAAACGCGTTCGAAAATGTTACGGTAGCGGTCAGTGTAATGGCAGCGAATATGAGAAACAGCCTTGCTTTTATCGTTCGTGCTAGTCAATCGTTTTTGTTCCTTTTTCATCTAACTAGTCCAGTACTTGTGCCTCTTAGAATCTTCACCTTTATTTGATAGAGTTATCTTTATATAGTATCTTTCTATCTCTCTCTAATTTCTATCTCTCTCATTCTCTCACTCTCTTTATCTCTTTCACCTTTATCTCTATTTCTCTCAAACGGAATAAAAACGAGACTCAGCCGCATCCAGCTGTTGTCTCAAGTCACACTACACCATCATCGTTTTTTCTTCATTAAACTAATTTTTAATTTTAAATCGAGAGAGATTTCTTCCCTTTTTAATGTGTATTTATATTTCTTTTTTTTTTCATCGGAAACTTGTAAATACTGAACAATCAGTTGAATAGGCAGCCGATCGACATTTGTTTGAAACTTCACCCCCTTTAATGGTTGATGTGTGTGTGTGTGTTTTTTTTTCTCTTCCGTATTATCACATCACTCTTAAAGGAAGTTTTACACAAATCTTGTACCGATTGTTCACGGGATCGTTCAGATAGAGGCTGAGCCTCTGCCTATCTGAGTGTTTCTTTTGCAAAAGCGGGTTTTATGTAATAATTTTTACCATAAATGGTATACATAGTATCTTATGTGCATTTGTTTACTTGAAAGTGATGGCTTTTATAACATTCTCTCATCACCCTTATATGTGTTGTTTGTAATATTTTTGTGAAGAATTTTAGATAATGAAGACTATAGATTTACTTGTTTTCTTTGTAGTTCACACAGGTAGTGTCTCTTATCGCTCATCATTGATCGTTTGTTTCAAAATATTTCATCACAAGTATTGCTTTATCATCGTTAAGCAATGGCTACTGAATTGACTGAACTTGAACAACTTCTTATTAAGTATATGAAACATATTTCAACAACTGGAATCGAAGGTGATTTTATATCTTAAAAGCTTGTTCAATACATTTCATACAAATGTGTCAAAAGTTATACGTATTGACCATATATGAATTATTCAGAAGGCTTAGCCAAAAGTATAAAGTCTGATTTGGGAAAAGATGGATGGTTGATCACACAACAATCTCTTCCAACAAATGAATCTCGCTTCAACCTTCTTGCTACTCAGTCAAGTCAAGGTTCTCTCATGAACAAGTCATGTTGTTGGGAAAATATAAAGTTTAAGATAAAGTTCGTTTAATTCTGAATACTCATCTGGATACGGTTCCTCCATACATTCCACCAACATTCGATGACGAAAACATCTATGGAAGAGGATCTAATGATGCGAAAGGTGCAACATTCACATTCGTTCTCCCTATGACTCCTTTACCATTTCCAGGTCAATTAGTATGTATGATCATGGCAGCAAACGAATTCATCAAAAGACACCCCCATTTGTCAGATCAAATAGGTCTATTATTCGTTGTTGGCGAAGAAGTCGATCACGTGGGAATGGAGGTGAACATCTTCCATGAACGCTATAAACTCTCCTCAGGAAGCCAACCATTTGGGTATCAATCCAGAGTATCTCATTGTGGGCGAACCGACTGAACTCAAATTCGCTACCATTCAGAAAGGAGCCTTAAAAGTTTGAGAAAAGAAATGATTATTATAAACAAAATCATCTGAGGTTCTACTAAAAGCCAATGGAGTGGCAGGTCACTCTGGTTATCCCAAGTCTGGAGAAAGTGCTGTACACAAGCTCATACCTGTTCTCAATGATGTGATTAATCATAAATGGCCAACCTCAGAGAAAATTGGTGAGTTAACGTATAACGATCAACTATGAAGTCTCTAAGGGGATACCACGTACAATATTGGGCTCATCAAAGGTGGCCAAGCCCAAAATGCATGGGCTGAATCGGCTGAAGCCAATATTTTCTTCCGTGTGACCACATCTGTTGAGGATATTATGCAGCAACTGCAGAGTATTGTCGGTGGTGAGTATAAAAGAATGTTCTGAAAATATGAATACAAAAGATCGGGTGGAAATCGAAGTGCTTGGAAGAAACTCACCTGTTATCCTAAGCCCAAATCCACTGGGCTATCCAGAAGAATCTGTTGCTTTCAATACAGATTTACCATACTATCACAAAATCCGAGAGGTCAAAGGTCTGAAAACAAAAAAATATAACATTGAACTATAAGATTGCAGGAAAGTATTTATTTGGTGGTGGTTCGATCAAGAATGCTCATTCCGATCATGAGTTCATGCCCAGATCAGAGTTGGCAGAGTGCCAGAAAGTACTTGTTAATTTGATGGAAAAATTGCTTCTTTAGAATTAATTACTAGTTGTTTATTAGTGAAATTTGTTTTACTGGTTATGGAAATAGAACACTACACTCCCAATGTATTCATTCGAAAGTATTCCTCAGGGAAAGGATCCTCCTGAAAATTAAATTCTTTGCACTCTATAGGAGTCAAAAACAACGTACAGGGCTAATGACTATATTCGGTTTCTCTTCAAGTGTCTTGTTAAGAGAATCGGAGGAATTAGTAGGTTCTCTAGCATCACTTGCACTATTGGGACGACTGAATAGTGACTGAATCAGCGTAATCATACATGAAAGGCAAACCGTGTTTGATTTGTTATTTCTTCCATAGTAATAACAGCATTCTTAGAATTCAGGTTTTCCCAATCATAAGGGTCAGTAAATCTATGAAAATGAGATTTGAATAACATGTAATGATTACTTGTATTTGTTCTCGCGAATGATATCAAAAAAGTTAGTAGCAATCCAATGATAATCTGGCCGAGTGAAGAAGTCCAATTCACTTAAGAGAGAAAGGTTGAGAGTGAGAAGTACAACACACCTGAGATAGTTGCATATCTCAATCATTGTTTCCGGAAAGCATTGGAAAACCTTTGATAATGGAGTTGTTCTTTTTGATTCACCAATTTGCGTTCGAGTCCTGAATCATATTGAGCTCTAATGCAAACAAACTGTCATACTGAATATGTTTCCATGGTAGAGGAGCTCTCATTTCAGCTAGCATATACATGAAGCTCCATAAATCGTCAACTCTACATTGATCTTTCTTATTGTGCACATTGATAGAGCAATATCTTGTTGTTCCTCTTGAATACATAATGATATAAGATTTAAAAGATCTTGAGTAGTACCTGAACAGCGCTTGTTCTCTCGGTTTACGCAATTGAACTTTTCCTGCTTTTTGAGTTACAAACATGCGAGATAATCCGAAATCTAAAACGTGGAGGAAATGATGACGACCCGTGGCAGGATTTCCAATAGCGATGTTGGCAGGTTTAAGATCTCGGTGAACGAATCCTATCTGCATACGTAATTATTAGAAGACCTCCAGTAATTAAACCAACATCATGAATTTGTTTAATACAGAAGAGTATATTGACAGCTACACGAACGAGTGTGGATTTGGTCACACGGCCACCCACTCTCCTTAACCTTTTCATTAAGTTTCCCCGTTTGGCTTCACTAACTTCAACAAGTTCGCTAAACTTTCTCCCATCAACGTCATTATGACATAAGAAACGTTTTCTTTCTTTCCACTGTAAAGTAGTTGCGCCACGTATGGTTTTCCCTCCAAGCGTTGTAAAACCTTGTTGTATAACAAACATAATGACAAACATAGAATAACAATACCTGGATTTCTAATTTGAGTACATTAATATCTGAGTTTTGCTCAGCTTTCAAAGCAGCCTGAATAGAGTAAGGAATGAGGATGAAGATGGACGAAACACGATACCAGTTCAGGATCAGTTGGATTGGATGCTAAATTCAGGACCTTAAAAACAGATCCACAGCCTCCTTCTCCAAGTTTTCGAATAACTTTCCATTTGCTTCCAATAATTTTTCCTTTAGGAAGTAGAGAAGATCCTGAAGATCATCAAAGAATGTAATCAAATGAAAATTCCAAAATTGTTTTCACCAGACGAATCCATAACCGACCGATTTCCACGAGCCTAGTGTTAAGAATAAAACATCAACGCGACCACGCGTTTTTTGAATTTTTTTTCAAAAACCTTTGTTTGCTTTTATCCCTATTGATTAATTTGAGATAGAAGCTCATGTTCAATCCTAAATGAAATAATTCCTTTTCTGAAATACTTTTAACAAATTTAATTGTGCAACGTCATCTTCTTATTCCTCTCATTGTTCTTTCAAACATGCCACCAGAATATCTCTTAGTACAGAATTTTTGTGAATTTCTATATTTAGTAGATTATCTTATCTTATCAATATATGAGTTTTGAGTGATAATTTATACTGAAATCCTTTTCATCATAATAAATTAGAAAATTCTTAGAAATGGCATCAGCCTTTGTCTGTCTTCATCCCAAACCTGCGGTCGCAGCACCTGCAGCAGCGCAATAGAGCGACGAGACAAGTTATATGTGTCAAATTTTGAAAATATTGAAATGAAAATATAAACGATGAAAATGATGTACGAAAATGTTTTTGCGATTACCACGAATTCTTCTTTTGAATAAACTTTTCAATAGACTTTGAACTTCCAAGCATGCATTATCATTCGTATCGATAAAGACGTATGACATTGCTGTCGAAGATACATCTCTTCATATATCCATTTGAATTTACAAAAATAATCAAATAATAAAAAGAGCCTCGTCTTCTCTTGCTATCATTGATTCATACAGACGTTTTGAGATTTCTTTGTCTTTGGTCCAAGAGAGCTCTTATCAAATTTGGAAAAGCTACTTGCTTATTCAAGGAAAAAACTCGTTTTTACAATTTGATCAATCGTCTTGTGCCCTTATAAAGAATAGTATATTGATTTACTGTATGGAATACCTCATTTATTACTCTGTCATTTCGTAAGTGCATATGTTCCTCCCGCACCTATCGTTCATAATTTAATCTTTAAATGAGATAAGAAGAATTTCAGTCAGCTTTCTTCGCCAGCTCAATCTACTCCTCAATTTTCTTTCTTTCAACTGTTTCTTTCAAATCTCCGGAATGACCATTATACATTCTGTTTTCTTCCAATAAACATTTCAAATGAATCATCTTCCCCACCCTAAGATGACTAACTTACTTTCCATCGTTTGTACAGCTCGAATTCCTTTTTCACACTCTTCTCGGAATTCCCGAAGTCAACAGCTTGTTTGATCGAAAATTCAGATTTGACTTCTGCTCAAACAGTAAATATATTTGCTAAAGGCGACTGTCATTCCGAGGAATGACCGAAGTCAGTCTTATCCTTCTTGTCTATACAAACCTCTTTATTGCCTCTTACCACCTTACAAGTTTTTTTTACTACAGAGATGTTCTCAAGCCAAAGAGGGTTTATACGGAGAAATACCAAGTACATTAAGGTTGTCAGCACTCTTAACACAGCTTTTCTCATTTCGGCACTAGTGAGTTTTGTTTGGTTTAAGAGATACGTATGTACTCATCGAGTTCTCTACAAATTCCACTCCCTAATTGATATGACTTTAATTCTTCAACGATCAGCTTATGTTCTGTGCATGTGACGTCTGATCTTTCAACGTTCAAGCGAGTGATAATCGAACTATAAACCGCTTTTCGTCTTAAAAAAACAAATGTACGACGTGACTTTGACTAAAAAAAAAGAATTAACTTTGGTCAATAACCTTTTATCTAATTCAGCTTTAGATAAGGTTGAATTTCTTTGAAAAATTCTTTTCTTGTTCAGGGAGATCGACTATGGGCGTTTTCTGTTGGATTCATCATGCACAGATTAGGTGGTTTGAGTTGGGTAGCCATACATCAGCTAATTGATGCTGGATTCAAGCTTGCATTGGCTACTAAAGTAGGAAGTACTCTGGATCGAATGAGCAGATTACGAGGTGTTCTATTTCATCTTGAAAAGAAACAATAGATTCATATAATAGGAATACAAATACTCTTAATAGTCAACAATGTTTTCATAGCTCTATCAGCTTTGATGTTTTACTTCCAACTTCTAGGTTATGGCGATTCAAATATTTATTTATCTAAGGTTGGCTACCTAAAATGTTATAAATCTTCTAACGTTTGTTCAGATACTACTAGTGACCGCAATAGTGTTTGGCTCAATCTCTCGAGTTGCATCAGAAGCTCAAAAAACAGCATTTGTCAAAGATTGGCTGGTAGTTCTCATAGAAAACTCTGATGGAGCTCGTCTATCAAGTAATCAATTAATCACCTGCTTCGCAAGTTTTCCTTACAGCTCAGAATAGTATAATGAACATGATCGACCATCTTGCATGTTTCATAACGCCCATAATCGCTGGAAACCTTCTCGATAAGTACAAAGAGGTTTGTCTTTGACGTTCAGTTCATTCATCTTGATCGTCTAGTAGCTGAGCAAACAATTGTTTTTCAGCCTTCATGCTGTCTCATCATAATAGCCTGGAATATATTGTCTTGGGTCGTTGAGACATCTGTGATGATGTGGATATACTCGGTAACACCAGAACTGAAAAGAACCAAAGGTACCTCAAACTTAACGTTGCCAGAGACTGTGATTTGATTCAGAGAAAGAGACAGAGGAACAACCAACTTCTGCTTTCACGAAGTATTTCCGTCAGAAAGCAATTCTTCCTATGTTTGGATTGTCTATGCTTTACATGACAGTTCTAGGCTTTGATAATGTAATAATTTCCAATAACATCTAGCCAAACGTTTTGTTCAGTTAGCTCTGTCTTATGGAACTTCTCAAGGAATGAAAGCAGGAACTATTGGATATTTTCGAGCTGCTGGGTCCCTTCTTGGATTTTGTGGAAGCGCGTCATATGCAATCTTGGAAAGAATTATAGGAGTCTTAATGACTGGATTTTTAGGGTTAACCGTATGTCGTTCACTGCTTGTTCCGCTATCACACTGATATTACAGTTGCAAAACATATTCATCAATTTCTGTAGTGTGTCCGTCTTCCTGCCTGGAAACACCTTCAATATCACGGGCTATCTGAACACTCTTGATGCTCAGGTATTTATAAGACGCTCAATACTCGTTCAACATAGCTTTTAGACTTGGTTCGATACAGCCAAACTACATGTATTTGGAGAAAATGGAACTCAACCTACAGATGTGCCTATGGCAAATATGGAATATACTTCTTCTATTTTCGTATTCTTCTTGGGTATTACTTTGGCTAGATTCGGTACGTGTTGAGTAAGATAGTAGGATATGTATAACGTGTTCTAGGTTTATGGATTGCGGATCCTGCCATTGTACAGATCATGCAAGAAACTATACCTGAAGACGAAAGATATTCTGTGAATGCTGTTCAGAACGTTTTCTGTGAATTTTTCTCCATACTGAAAGATGTTCTGGTATGACAACTAACGAGACTTAGAACAATATGTATATCCGCAGGTTATTGCGTTCCCCGTGACAGCAGCTTTTGGATGCTTGATCATACTTTCATGTGTTTTTGTGTTCATAGGGTACAGTTTCTACTCCACATACTACTTCAAGGTGAATAAGCTTCTGAACAGAAAAATATTGACTTCGTTTCTCAGGCAAGCTGCTCATCCAAGAAAGAAGACAGTATAACCGATTATGATATGAACACTTTAAAACTACCGGAACAAGAACATTTGATAAACAAACGTTCAGTAGAACAAGTTCTCAAAGACTGCTAGCCACCCTCACACCTACTTGGCTTTGTACTTCATTCCAAATCAGGGTATTTTTGTATTTTTACGTGTACGAAATCATTTAAAAGTAAAACTTGAATAAAATTTTCACTCGACACTAAAGAGCAATCGCTAACAAAATTTACAATATCTTTAAAATAAACTACTCTATCGATCAACTTCTCCGAATACAATATCCATAGTACCGATAACAGCGACAACATCAGCGATGAGAGCCATGTAACAAACGTCATTGATAGCTGCCAAGTGAGGGAAACCTGGAGCACGGATGAAACATCTGAAAGATGGTTGTACGTGGAAATATAAAGCAAGAACAATACCTATAAGGCTTGCTGGTTCCGTCGGCAACAAGGTAAACACCGAATTCTCCCTTAGGAGCTTCAATGGGTACGTATGTGGCACCAGGGGGTACTTGGAAACCTTCGGTGAAGAATTTGAAGTGATGAATCAGAGATTCCATAGACTCCTGAACAAAGAGAAGGAAAAGATGAGAAAAACAAAACTGAAACAAACCTTCATTTCTCCTCTCTTGGGGGGGACAACTTTGTGATCATCAACCTTAATCTCACCAGCTGGCATTTGGTTCAAGCATTGAAGAATAATTCTGAGTGATTGTCTCATTTCTTCAACACGACACAAATATCTGACAACAACAAAAACATGATTAGAATGAATGGCAAAGTTTACCTGTCGTAACAATCTCCTTTAGTTCCAATAGGTACATCAAATTCAACCTTATCATAAGCATCATAAGGCTGGGTTTTTCGGACGTCTTGCTTAATGCCGGATCCACGAACCATAACTCCAGAGAAACCCCAATTGAGAGCATCAGCGGCAGAAACGAGTCCTGAGAAGAATTTACCGATTGACCATATACTATATATGTTTGAATACCGATATCAATTGTTCTAGCTTTCCAGATTCTGTTCTCAGTGAGCATATCCTCGAGCTCGTCGATACGTTCTGGGAACTTCATAGCCCAATCATAAATATCATCCATCAGTCCAATTGGTAAATCCCAAGCAACTCCTCCAGGTCTAACATAATTGGCATGCATACGTGCACCAGAGGCACGTTCAGAAAATTCAAACAATTTTTCACGTTCTACAATAATTATTCTTTCAGAGAATGTTTCATAAGTACCTAACCTTCGAACATCCAGAAGAAAGGAGTCATAGCACCAATATCCAAAGCGTGAGTAGTGATACCCATAATATGATTTTGAATACGAGTGAGTTCACCGAACAAAGCTACAAAACATTTTTTATCCATCCAACAGAAAAATTACTCACTTCTGATATATTTCGCTCGGGGTGGGATATCAATGCCAAGAAGCTTTTCAACAGCCAAAGACCAAGCTTGTTCATTACACATCATAGATACATAATCAAGACGATCAAAATATGGCAAAGCCTGTAACAGCATGAAAAAATGTCTCCCAACTACCGTACCTGTGTATAAGTTTTGTGCTCAATCAATTTTTCTGTAGCACGATGCAGTAATCCAATATGAGGGATAGCCTTGATAATGACTTCTCCTTCCAACTTCAGAACAAGACGAAGTACACCGTGAGCAGCAGGATGTTGAGGTCCGAAGTTCAGAATCATGTTTTCTAAACTTTTTTCACGGTGTTTTCCATCGAAAGTATCCGATAAAACAGGTTCTTGTTGCATTAACTTCTCGAACTTATCAAGTCCAATCTGCTCGTCATATTCTGAAGTCTTGTCAGACATCCAGAGACGACCAAGAGTTCCACCGGTCTTAACACTAGAGTATGAATGACTAATGAACGGGGACTCACCTTAAACTGTCTTTCGAACTGAGCATCAGGATACCAAATAGTGTGGGAATGGCGACGGGACCCACCAGAAGTTAGTAATGATGGTGATGCGGCTACCAAGCGAGAACAAGCACCAACAACACGTGGGCCCAGCATCTAGATCAGATTGATACAAACAGATGACACATGAAGAAAATATTGAGAGCTAATAAAAACTCGTCAAAGTGGGGAAAAAACTATAATGTTAAGCTTTTTTCTGCAAATTATGAGTATAAAATAAACAGTAAAGTTCAAGTTTGAAGATTAATCAAATTAATCGGTTAATACAATTATGATGAATTCATTCATTGATCCTGTCAAGAGTTGTTCTCCGTAAGCGAGCTGAAAATTCAGAATAGGAATGATATTTTCTCGGTCAAACTTACTGCTCGATCGTGGAGGTTTCACCTCATTATCACTTCGAATGGCGGATAAGTTGAGATCAGCAAAAGTAAGCTGTAAAATAACAAATAAATTTTGAAAATTTTTTCAAATTGCACATTTGGATCCATTGTTTTGTTTGGCGTAGATATCGCTCTTCCTAGTATAGCTTCTTCTGACATAGGGTTAGATTCTGATAAGCGAGTGCGCTATAATAAAAACAACTTCTAACAGTAAAAAAAAAGAAAAAACCTTTCTCTGAGAGAGGCGACCTCCTGTGGGTACAGCAAACGTAGCATCAGAACCTTTAGATGTTTTTTCAGCAATATCGTCTGAACCTGTTTTATTTTCTTTCCCTTGCATTACTGTAGAACTTGAAGGAACTTCAACTGTAATAGAGAGAAGAAACGTTAACAGATTGATGAAGATAAAAATTACCATTCCTTGAATCTCCAAGCTCATTATCACAATTAACATTCTCTTTCGGCAGATCAACATCCATGTTCTGTACTTTTGAAAGTTTTCTAGATCTCGTTGGCATATCAGCAACGCTTTCGTTATTTTCAGAGGTTTTTTCGGGTTGGCTCTCCTCTACATCCATTGGCTCTTCATCTTTTACAATTTTCTCACCACTTGGAGATTTTTCATTATTTTCTCCAGCTACTTCCATATTGACAGCAGAATCCTTTCGGAGTGGAGTGCATTCGCGATCAGTAGCATCTTCTTCCAATACTTCCATAGAAGATTTGTTATCCGGGTTGGATTGTTCGCGTGCTCGAATGAGTACAGCGGCTGTAACCATGGAACGCCTTTCTCTTTTAGCAGCTTGGGCAGCTTCCTTCGCTTTATTTCTCTGATAGATTTCATATCTCTGAGAAAAAACAATTATGAATAACTCTTCTACATGTATAAACCTCATATTTCTTTATATCGAATTCGATCTCTGCTTTGAGCTGTTTGTCCCCAGCTAAAAACTCATCAATCTGTTCTTGATGCTCGCGGCAAATCGCTCTATAGATGTACTGCATGATATGATGAAACATTGAAAATAAACCTGAGAACTGCGAAGCATAACTTGATTTGATTGCTTTGATTTTCAAGAAGAAATGATCTCATTTCGAGAAGCGGCGGCATGATCGACAGAATAAATCCTTTGCGGAAAGCGGATGAAATCATGTTCTTAGCTGCAGCTACTATATCAGGTGAAGGTTCATCTTCATCTTCATCGTTTCCTTTTCCAACATCCATATTAAGCCGAATCTCTTTGGAAGACATTATCTGGAACGGTCACTACCATGAACAATAGCTCGGCTATATAATCTTACTTCGAAAGCGTCTGTTAGTAAGTCTTGAACATGCTTGCTCTTGAAATCTAGTTCCCCACTACAAATTGGCCTGAATATTTGCTCACAGATGTGTGACATGGTCATGAATTTTTGTTTATCATCAAACGTAGCAATCTTAAAAATTTCATGAAAAGCGATTTCTCGAAGATAATACCATAAACTTGTACAGGATCATTCTTGCTTTGAAATTACGCTTTCCACCAAGTGAAAACTTCAGAGAGGTATCAACATCCAAATCTTCCATTGCTAGATTAACACAAATGCATGTAGCATTTAGTTAGAAAAATATACCTCCAGGCATATACTTCCGTGAAACCTCATTAAAATAGATAAGACATTCTATGAAATGATTATAAAACATTCCAGGGAACTGAAGTAATAAAACATCTTTCTGAAATGCAACAATTTCTAAGTTTATTGAAAGCAATCTCCACTAGCTTACCAAACAAAACTCGGCATATTCTCGAATGGCTCTGTTTTCATCAAGAATAGTAGAAACAAATCTATACATAATCTGGAAAGCCAAATTCCATCTTTGGAATAAACTTTAGACGTTACCTGGCCTTCCCAGCGAATAAACTGCTCTTTAATGAGGTTTGTTAAGGATTCCAAAGTATGATGGCGAACTAAAGTAGATCTGTCTTTCAGGCAACTGGCAATGATTGGCGAATATCGATCAACAAGAAGTGTATATCTAGGAAAGGTATTAGAAAAAATCTGAGCGATTGACATACCTTATGCAAAGGTCGCAAATTACAAAGACAACATTGTTTCTGATGATATGGTCAGGATTTACCTTCAACTGACGAACTAGAACAGGAACACAGCTTTTAGCTAATTTTTCATCCTAGAAAACATAGTGTTCATGTTGATTGAAAGCTAACATACCATCAGACAAAACTTTCCTATTGCTAGAACACAATATGATCTTACGAGGGGGGTAAATAACTGCACTCCAACAAAATGCCCTTTCCTATTAATCAAATGAGGAGGGATGATAGCCTGACCCTGCGACATTGGAAGAGATCCCACGGATGTGGGTTGGGAAAATACTTCCTGTAATATTTAATATAGTCAAAATTTCCAACTGAGGATTACAGATTGAGGTTCAGCATATTGTCCAAGAGCTGTTCCTGCGCGGGATGGTAAAGGAGTAGGATTTACCGATGGTACAGCCGAGTTGATAACTGAATTAGACTCCAAATATGAAAATTAACACAAAGACTAACTTTTAAAGCAAATCTCTTCATCAGCTTGGATATCAGCTGAAGCCATAATCACTTTTAAAGCATTGACCAGTTCGTCACACAGAGTAAGAAGAGTAGGTGAGAACTGTATCACTTCTCCTATAGTAGTAATGACTCTGATGAGCTTTGATTCCATTGAAGATAAACTACAAGCATTTCAGTGAATTAAAGCTGACGATTCGATTGACAAACCTTTCGCCATCATTCATATGAATTTCGGAACTGAATTCATCAAGGTGTTTCCGTAGTTGTCGTTTACAGTCGTTGAGGAGCCTAACACCAAAATCCCGCAAAACATTCCCATCTTAAAGAGATTATAACAATTGGAAATGTGTTTAAGAATACTTTTAGCGTCTTCGCCAACAGCACCCATTAGCCTGGCCATGCACAAATAGACTGATGATATATGAGCTGCTTCTAATCTGTAAGATACTAATCTTCTTCATTATACTGTTCAATAAACGAACTCATAATTTGATAATTTACGCTTCATATCGTCAATGAGAGAATATTTTTGAGAAGAGTCCAGGGATTCATCAGAAGAAGACAAGACCTTAGCAATGTATCGAACCTGGAGGAAGAAAAACGAGATAGAGAAGTTGTATATTAATTAAAATACTTTGTTTCCATCATCATCATCTGTCAATTCAAACCAACGCTCAATTGCTTTAGAGGGACTGATCTGAAAACGATCATCATAGACGATTTTTCTCCTCTCAATTGTATACCTTAACATTAGAAGAACGGAAAACAACACTAAGTTCAGCCAACATCATCCAGATCACATCAATGTTTTCAGGGCTCTTTACTAAATTTTTCTGGAGAACATTGATGATGTTTTCAGTTAATTTGCCCTCGCTTGCTTGAGTGAACATTGTTCTCACGAGTAAACGTCTAAACCCACATGTCAAACCTTTAACAAGTCACGAAAATACCTGTGATTGTCCTCTTGTTCTATTTTCTTTAACAAAGACCAAACGAGCTCGTCGCCATTAAGAAGCGGGGAAAATATAGTATCACTTATAAGCTTAGCTGCGACACTAACAACTGATTGTTCTCGGTCATTAATCAGAGGTAAAACTGTTTTCAACCATAAAATTTCAAGATGATTCCTATACGAAAACGATGTCTTCAAGCGTTCAAAAAAGATGTGAATACCTGTAAACGGGCTTTGATCTCAAAATGAAATTGATTGTTTCTGCAGATTGCCTCCGTACTAGAACAGATGCATCAACAACAGAGTTCTGAAGAAAAGTCACGTCTCGAGAAATAGCAGTTGATAAACCTTGAGAAGAGTTAGAGCTAGTTCAAATTCTACAGCATTGTCCAGCATGCCAAAATATGACTGCATTGCGATGATCCCAGATTTTCTAACAGCAGCCTTAAGTTTTACATTCAAGTTGGATGCCAAATTATGGAAACTAACTTTTTCATCACTCATAGCTTTTTTAATAATGAAAAATAGCACATTGGTAACTTCTTCAAATGAATCATCCAAGAAATCTTCTTCATTAATGGAATCGTTCTTCTTGCCATCGTCTTCACCAGTTCCCGTATGTTTACCAGTTATGAATCCGGGATTTTTATCATACTGAGTAAGCAATACAATCATACAACAGAATGAAAAACTAACCATAGATTGACTGATCCTTCTTAAGTGCTGACCATGGACAGGATCCTTCAGCAAATTAGAAACGTAGACTATAGCCTTGCCTCTAACACTAGGTGACTTATCCAAGCAACAACGAAGTAAACATTCATACAATGCATTCGAAGCATCTACTCTTTCGAACCCTTTCTTCCTTGAAAACTTGCTTTAAGTCTGTAATAAAATTCATACGAACTTGTTCAGCTTCGCTTTTCTCTTTTTCTCAAGAGCTAATTTGCGAGCTAGCCTGTTATCATCATCACTATCCTCATCTTCATCTCTGGTGGATGCTATTGTAACTTCCTATAATGAAATTACAATATGTTTCACCAGTTTTAAAACATACGGCTTGAATGCTGCTTTCAGCAGCTTCATCAGGAATATCCTTCAGTTCATTAAGATCTGAAGACAAACGTGCGAACTCATTTCAGTTGACATAACATACCAAGGGAAACCAATATGTGGGGAACTACTTCGACAGTAAAGTTCCGAAGAGAAGTTTTGACGTTTTGAGAGAAAACATTCAGTCTACAAATGAAATCCTAAAGAAAGCGTTAACGTTCTGACCCTATATTCGCTTACATATTGCTCTTTCCTAGGTAGTTCCAGTAATATTTGGACTACACATTGAGATAGTTTAGTACGATAGTCTTGTCGATCAGTACAACGACAAAATAAATTATCAATAATCTGTAAGCCAAAGGTGAATGGAATACATTAAGCATAAAAATATAGTGAACAGCCCGAGCAACAGTACGTATTTTACACATACCGTAATCACAACTGATATTTTCGATCAATCGTCGCTGGTGCGAGTTACCAAGAAAATAAACATACTTTAACAATACTTCTCATTTCTTGCTTTTCTCCATGTTTCATTCTATAAACAACGAAACGAAACATCAAATCTTTCCACATCGTGAAGATTGCAGGTATGGCTGATGATGTAACTATATTAAGGTCAAAACCCCAATAAGCTAATCTAGGAAATACGATACGAGAGTATACCTTAACCAATTAAATGATACAAAGCTAAGAAATTTGCGAACTTACCAAAACTCCATCCGTACTATGTTTATCTTGAACTAATCTATGCATTAATGCAAAAGCTCGATCCGAAATGTATGGAAGTTTGCTGAACTGTCGAGCGTTTTCACAGGGCTCGGTACGAGTTTCTTTTGAAGCATCAAGTTGGGCTATATCACGAACGAACAAGGCTGTAGTTTCACTAACTTCTTTGTACGCGGATAGTGCAACTAAATTAAGATTTTTCGCAGATTATGAATAGAAAAATAACCTTTATTGAACAATAGGTAGAGAGATAACGTTGCCTGCTCTAGCAATTCATGTAATTCAGACTTTTCTAAGTTCATTTTAGACTCTTCTTCTAAACTAATCTTATGATAATAAATCAAGAACTGCATACCAGGAAGATCATCATCATCTTTTCGTTTCTGTTTACCCTTTCCTTTAGTTTTTGTTTTTGTTTTAGTGTTAATAGAGCGAGAGTCATACGTTATTTCTCGATACACTGTTCGGAAGAGTTCCAAGCATTTCTATAATTCGTTATCATTGTATAAACCAAATTTCTGACCGTTACCTCATACAAATACGGGTTGAAAATATGGTAAGCTTGAGCACCTTGTAAACAGCACATAGTATGATAACAAGAAGCAGCAGCAATACCAGCTTTCACTTCCATTCCCTGGCTGATTTTCGATAACTGCATATAAAACTCAGAAAAAGCTTACCTATCTCTCTGTAGAGCTTTTTCCATGGAATACCAAAACACAAGCATCATGCGTTTTCCACTGATACCAACGTCGTTCATTTTTTCCCAAACACCTGTTCCTGTAGATGATTCTTCTAATACTCTAAGTAACGATATCACTGAAAAAAACAGTTTCTCAGATATAAATATGATTGACGTACAGTTTTTATAAACATCAACTTGATCAGAAGTGTCATTTAAGAAGAAGTCGGGAGTGACTGCTGAGGATGTAGCTTCAAAATCGCTAAAGTTACCATCGATACTATAACAAAGATATAATCTGCTGGCTAGTTCAAGGATACATACGTGTTGGCTATCCAGGCATCTGAGAAATCTTTAGCAGAAGAAAACTGTGCACAAAGAAATTCCGTCAAATCCTCCATAATTAGGATAAATGGTACGATATATATTTACAAGAACACTGAAAACACATATTTTGAATACCAGTAACACTAAGCTTATCATTAAGCTACATCTCTTTAAGCTATTTAACATAAATGTAAGCAGTTTGAAAACATGGTCAATATTTCAAAATTAATTCTTCGCGCGTTAACATTAGAGCGCGACCTCTGGTCACCTTTATTGCAGGCTGCCAATTTCACAAGTTTTTTGTTTTCCTTGTAATTTCATAACAAAATATCTTTCACGTATTCCAACGTGACCTTCTTACGTGACATACGTGGAAATATTGGTATAAAACACATTTCATTCCATTTCTGTACCAACTCACTTAGCGGTTGGTTATCATGTTGTTACATTTTCTTGGCATTAGCTTTGGTTTGCCCTGTTTTTTTTTGTTATCTTGCAATGATTATCGTTATTCAACCTATTATTGTTATATTGGAAGAAGATACTTTTAAGTAACCGTTCATTGTTTATCAAATGCAATATGTTAATCACATTTATAAAACTTAAAGGATAACAATGAAATATGGATCAGTTTCAGACGTCTCTAGTCTAGCCAAAATAAAAGAAACCAGTCAAAAAAAATAAAACGCAAAAAGTATGCTACAATGTGATAAGTTATTGGTTTATAAATATTATCACAGTAAGACCTGCATTTATAAATATAAAAATATCGCTTTCATGTTTCATTGCAATGCAGATAATAGTTTACCATCCCATCTTAACGTATCTGATGATTTCGAAAATGGCTGAAACAAGTGAAACCATATATGCAAACTCAGAATGTGGTGTTCTTACCTGATCCGCAGACAACGAACACGAAAAGTCCAATGAGCCAAGGAGCAGCTGGATACTTATCTTCTTGAGGCTTCTGTAGATTATCCGTTCAATTACAGACTCGTTTCTCATAATCAACTCACCAAAGTTTTGGCGACATTTCCGCGGTTAGATACATTCTTGCTGAAAGCATTGTTAGCAACAGACATACGCTGTTTAGGAGCCATTTTATATATATTCTGAAAAACCGAAGGATTGCAGAAACGCGTTTATATGAATATGAATATGAATATTAATATGAATAAGAAGAGGGACAAAAGAAAGCAAGATTAGATACAGACTCAAGTCCAATATACTATACAGCACTATTTTATCTACAGATGCTGCGCGTTCCTCGCGTCGTGTATTCCGCCATCCAAGCAGTTACGGTATTGGACGTCACATTGGCCAATCTAGAGCGTGTAATATTATTAGCGTCAACTGCTTAGTCTCGCAACGATTGCTCTTGGGACGGTTCCAAAGATTTAAATAAATTTTAGCTTAAACAAAACTTGAATAGGCTTCGCAAACTTTATTTGAATATTGAAAAAAAAGGAGATTACATAAAAAGCTCGACTATTAGTATAAGTTATCACTAAAATATCAAATATTTATTAATTGTTTGCTTTGTATGAAAAATCGAATTAGCTTCATTAATTTCATCATTATTATCATTATATTACATTTTGTAAGAAAGTTTCCTTCAGATGCAGGTGGAAGATTTGGCCCCAGAAACTAACAGTAAGATCGTACGGATCGATGAGGTCTTATTTTTTTTAGATTTTGAGAAATAATTCATTATTAGGTCCAATCAACTGCGAGGGTACAGAGAGTCTCTGCTCACAGTCATGTGAAGGGATTAGGTTTAAATCCCGAGACTAAAGAAGCTTTGCCAAAGGTTTGATATAAGAAGTTTTGAATATTTTTATTTTCTTAGGCTGCTGGTTTTGTTGGACAAGTTCGTGCCCGCAGCTCTGCTTCTATCGTAGTAGATCTCATCAAAATGAAACATATGGCTGGACGTGCAATTTTACTCGCCGGTCCTCCCGGTACAGGTATTAAAACCATTCAGTTTTCCAGCATACTTGCTTCATTAGGTAAAACTGCAATTGCTTTGGCTATGGCACAAGAACTTGGAGATAAAATGCCATTCTGTCCTATGGTAGCATCTGAAGTATACTCAAATGAAGTCAAGAAAACCGAAGTTCTAATGGAAAACTTCAGAAGATCAATTGGTTTGTTGGTGAACTCATGTTTGATCTGATTTCTGAAAGCATTTCAGGTCTGCGTATTAAGGAAAAAAAGGAAGTATACGAGGGTGAAGTTACAGAACTCAACCCTGTTGAAACGGAAAACCCGTTGGGAGGATATGGTGAGCTTCATTTTTTCAAATAAAAATATAATATTTTATAGGAAAACAAATTTCGCATCTTGTTATCACTCTGAAAACGTGCAAAGGGAGTAAGCAGTTGAAACTGGATCCTACGATCTATGACTCCATACTGAAACAAAGAATCGAACTGGGAGACATTATGTATATTGAAGCTAATACTGGGGCTGTTAAGGTTTAATAATATTCCCTTGTTCTGTTTTTGATTTCTCTGTTTCAGCGACTAGGAAGGTGCGACATGTATTCCTCAGAATTTGACTTAGAAGCAGATGAGTTTGTTCCATTACCCAAAGGAGATGTGCATAAAACAAAAGAAGTGGTTCAGGTAACTCAATTCAAGTATATCTTTTCCTAAAGACCTCATCAGGATGTAACTCTTCACGATCTTGACGTTGCTAATGCGAAACCGCAAGGTCAGCGTGGTGACGTTTCCAGCCTAGTTGGACAATTACTGAAGCCGAAAAAAACTGAAATCACAGGTAATAACGGACAAGCACTTATATAATCTGTGAGCTTAGATCGTCTTCGGGCTGAAATTAACAACGTTGTTAACGATTTCATTGACCAGGTATTCATCACCTGAAGCGTTTTTCTATCGTTTTCATTAAGGGAACAGCCGAACTCATGCCTGGAGTTTTGTTCATTGATGAAGTACATATGCTCGATCTCGAATGCTTTACTTATCTCCATCGAGCATTAGAAAGTTCCTTCAGCCCCATTGTTATTCTTGCCACAAATCGAGGAAACTGCATGATCCGGTTAGTTTTTGGAATATTATTTTTTCATGGCTGTTTCCAGAGGCACCACTGACCTCTCTCCCCATGGAATTCCAAGAGACCTCTTAGACAGATTGATCATTATTCCTACTCAAGTATATAATAAACAAGAAATTCATTCTGTAAGTAAACGCTGTTTAACGTAATAACCTATCATTTTTTCTAGATTTTACAAATTCGTGCAGATGCGGAGAATGTAAATTTGGAAAGCGAAGCCCTTACTGAACTTGCTTCTATAGGATCCGAATCCTCTCTAAGGTATGCTCACATAAATTTCCTACTTTAATGATTATTTCCTTCTAGATATGTTGTACAGTTGTTGACACCTTCTAAGCTTTTAGCACAAGTAAGTGGGAGGGAATCTGTGAATGTGGGAGATATTAAGGAATGTGCAACGCTTTTCTTGGATGCCAAGACTTCTTCGAACGTTGCGAAAGAGCAAAAAGATTTCGTCGAACAGATGGACGTTTACTGATTCTGAAAGTTGTTTTTTTTGTGTTCTCTCGATACTCAATTGGTTGTTATTATTGCCCAATGTTTTCATGATCTTGTTAAAATTTGCTCGAATCTTTTTCACTAGACAGAGGTGTTTTGACACTTCATTATCTTCTTATTATTCAGATTTTTGTTAATCATATTATAGTTCAGAACATAATGGCTGATGAATGGGATCAGATTCCTGATGAGGAGCTCGAAGTAAGCTCCATTTTTCCTTCACTAAACTTCTTCTGATTATCACAGGAGACTTTCCTCGAAAGAATTGAGGGACTAGGAGAAATGTTCCCGAGTGGATTGAGAAACCTTATTGGAGGAACTGTGGATCTGAGTGTTTGGGGAGTGAAATCTTCGGTAAGTAGAATAGCATTTTCTTCAACAATCATCGTGTTTAGTTCTGGCTAGCAAGAAATACTGTTTGGATTGCAGCTACAACTTCTTTAATAATGTTCATGCCTTACCTTATTGAGAAGGAGAGGAGTGACTTCCAGAAGACTCAGGTAAATCTGCTCAACAGACGAAAGATTGATTGAAAATTTTCAGGTTGCTCAACAACAACAAATGTTGTTGGGACCCACCGCAGCTATGCAAGCAGCTAAAAAATAAGATGTTTAGTTGTGATTTTATGGTTTTGATCTTGTTTTTTTGTTGAAAACTGATAGGAATCCGGAAGGGTTTAAATAGTGCATCATTTAGAACTTAATAAACTTTCATTTTTATTTTATGTCAGACGTTAGCGGTTGAACCAATTTTATTACATCCAAACTTATGTGCTTCTTAGAAAAGGATGTTAAGATGTTACGCTACTGCGTGTTTCGGGGAGTATCAACAAAATTCTTTTCACGCATGTGCGCCACAGATATGCCATCGACTAGCCGATCGGAACCCGACTCGTTCGGAGGAGAAGATCCCGATGAAGTTCGTACTGCTTTCCTCAGAAACTAGGGTAATTGTTACAGACGGAAAAAATGAAAGATCTCCCAAGACGAACTCAGATATCAATTAACAGTAGAAAAGAGGTCTTAGATCTCCAGAACACAAAAAGACGAATACGTAAGTGGAAAGCAAGAATCCATGGGTTGCGAACGGTACACATTTGGAGCCAAGGAAATTGTTAGAAAAGTGTTTAGGATTTGAATGATACGAGCGGTCCCTTCAAACTCTCTGATGAAGAACTGCAACAGTGCATTGATGATGAAGAGCGAGATTGGAATGAGCGTGCAGAAGAATTAGTGGAGAACTTAACAGATTTTTTACCTCAAGAGCAAATTCATGCACTTGTTCCTGAAGTCACAAAAGAAGATATAGAGGCTCGGAGGAAAACTGGAAAAGTAAAGTTCAGGAAAATACAATATAGTGAGGGAGAGCTGGATGGATCTGATCTCAACAAACCAGCATCACCGTACATAATGATAAGTGGTCTAAGTATTAATACGGATATTTTAGGGAAAATCCTCATCCTTTCAATCCCAACATAGCCATTCCTCCTGTTTATTCCAGGACTGTTGCTCCTTATGTTAACTATGTACCTCTTCTACAAAACCTAGTCGATTTAGGTGTTAATCTTTTCGAAGTTGGATTTTGAACAGAAATGAAACTCATATATCTAATAATTAAGATTGATACAACGACTTCACTCTCGCGTCATTTGATCCGGCTTGATAAAGAAAAAGATGTTAAGCCAAAGGTGATCAATGCTTCTTCAAATAGTTTTCTACTTTGAGATTTCAGTTACAATGGCTTGTCACTCTCGGTTTCGAGCCCTCTCATTTAGGAGAATATATCACACGCAATCCCTTTTTTCTGATCCAAAGCTTAGATGATATGAAGGTAGTAAGCCCTATCTCCAACTAAATTGTTTTTTTCACAGACAAGAGTCAATTACTTAGAAGCAAAGAAGTTTTCGAAAGATCAGATAGTTAAAATCATAAAGGAGTTCCGGTAAAATAGTTTTCTGTTAGACGATACTCATCTTATCTTTAGATATTGGATCAATGTCGATGTAAAAACTATGGACGCTCGTTTAGGTTGGATTCAGAAACAGTTCGGGCTATCTGGTAATGAAGTTCGAGCTTTAATTGTTAAAGAACCAAGAGTTATTATGTTTGGGTTGGGTCCATTACAAGTATGTTACACAATAGTTAAATACTTAACACTTTTTCCACAGAGATTAGTAAATATGCTTAACAAGGAATTACTTTTTTCTGCCAAAGAAATGAAAAGGATGTTGTTGCTAGATCCCCGGCTTTTCATGATGGGTTAGTTTTCGACAGTGATTTTTCAATCAGAATAACTTGATGAGTTTGCGCACAACCGAGTCTTTCTAACGATATCCCAGAAATGAAACACTTTTTTCTGTCATTTCAGATGCCAAGTTCGTACTAAGTAATTACTACTATATATATCGAGTCATGTTGTTGTCGAATGAGATAATATCAGAAAACCCTTTCATCCTTCGTTGCTCACTGAGCAGTATCAAAAACCGGTAGGATGAATTACTCGCCCGCCTTTCTTATCATTGCAGTCATGAATTTCTACGAAAAATGAACCGGAATACATACGAGGGACAGCGGCTGAGCGAAGATACAATCAGCGAATCATCAAAGTTGGAAAATGACGTGAAGCCTGTGCCTTTAGAAATTTTTTTACATCCTAATGATGCTGTTTTTGCTACGAAAGCTGCTAACACGTATCTCGCGATTTATAATAAGTTTTTGAGAAGTCATTGAATGCTCAGTCAAACAGTTGCCTTGTCCTGTTTAGGACTCGACCTTATCGATTAATCAGTCGTCCAAATGTTATATTCCTATATGTGTTAATAGTCGTTGAATTAGATTCGTCTTTGTTGATGAAATTTGTTATTGTTATCAAATTTATTTATAAAACTTAGGATCAATAATCCTTTTTTCTGTTTTATTGGTCAGAATGTTTTTGTGAAAGAAACGATACTAAACTATACATGTATGAGATAATAATATTTAAGACAGAAATTATCTTCCTTCATTGTACTCTAGTCTATTTTAGTAGTCCATGGTGTTTGATAGCAGAAGAGCGTCGAGTATTTGAAATCATACAACCCTTTACATGTTATTAGTTAACAACATCACTCTCAATTCTCATTCTTTTTTTTTCAGAACTATGAAGAACTTAGTTAAACAGGGTGATAATCCCGATATCACTAAAGAAAGGCTCGGAGCTTCATTCGATGTAGACCGCATGGCTTCATTCATCCATGGTGGGGATGAAATCTTGATAGTTAGTTTAAGTTTGATAAAGTAAGTACTTTTTCTCTAGAGAAGAAGAGAAATCCTACAATTCGTGAAGTCAATTAAGGAGTTTGACGATCCCATTCCAGTAGAGTTCATGTCTCGAGAAGAACGATGTGAGAACGGCACAAGAAAGGTATGGTGTATTTTTCAAATTTTCCTGAACTTGGCCCAATCAGATAGTTGCCATGACAGACAATACAGATGCTATAGATGGATCAGATTTTTTCGGCGAAGGAATGTATTTGCAAAGGTTGTAGAGCTCACTGCTTTCTAGTAACATCAAGTTTAAGTTTGGTTATGGGTCGAGATTTACATGCCATGTCATTACATTACGTCATGTTCATTCCAACATTACAAGGACAAACTGATGATGATCAGTTGGACAAATGGTTAACCTTAGCTATAGTCAGAGGAGTTGTTGGAACTTATGCTCAAACCGAGCTTGGTCATGGTACGAATTTGGCAAGACTGGAAACAACAGCAACGTACGACCCGAGAACTCAAGAGTTTGTGTTACATACTCCCACTATCACGGCGACTAAGTAATTACTTTTAATTTTTAACTAGAATTCTGAAACTAATCTTACAGATGGTGGCCAGGAGCTCTGGGAAAGTCATCCAATCATGCTATTGTGGTGGCTCAGTTATACACAAATGGTAAAAATATGGGACCGCATCCGTTTATCGTTCAAATTCGTGATGAAGAAACACATATGCCTCTTAAAGGTTCTAATCGCAAGAAGGAGGTTATTAAATGTTTATTTTCAGGAATTAAACTTGGAGATATTGGTCCTAAACTTGGAATAAATGGTAGCGATAACGGCTTCATGATTTTTGATCATTTGAGAATACCCAGAGAAGCCATGTTAATGAGATACTCTAAGGTTAGAATGATAGCTCATACTGTCAACGTGAAAGTATCAGGTTCTTCCTGACGGAACATATGTTGCTCCAAAGCATTCTAAACTGGCATTTGGAACTATGGTGTTTGTTCGATCTATTATGATAAAAGACCAGTCCCATCAGTTGGCAGCGGCAGCGTGTATAGCTATCCGCTACAGTGCTATTCGACGACAAGGAGAGAAAGTTGCAGGGTAAGAGAAAATAGTCTAACGTAAAGATTGAACTTTTTCAAGAGAAGGAGAAGTGCAGATAATAGATTATCAGACACAACAGTATAGAATTTTCCCACAATTAGCTCGTGCATATGCTTTCATTTTTGCTGCATACGAGATACGTGATTTGTACATGCAGGTTCAGTTAAAATCGTAACTATGAGATTCATTGTTATTCCAGTTAACTGAACAACTGATTGAAGGAAACGTAGACTTGCTGCCTGAAATTCATGCGTTAACCTCAGGGTTGAAATCAGTTGTATCATGGGAGACAGCCCAAGTATATTTTGTTTTATAAAGAGACTAAAATACAATTGCATTAGGGAATAGAACAGTGCAGACTGGCCTGTGGTGGCCACGGATACTCGCAAGCTTCTGCTTTCCCTGAAATTTATTCATATGCAGTAGGTGGATGCACTTACGAGGGCGAGAATTTAGTCATGTTGCAACAAGTTGCAAAATTCCTTGTGAAAGCTGCCGGAGAAGTTCGTAGCGGTAAAGCACGCTTAGCGGAGATCTGTTCATATCTGGGCCAGAAAGGAAAAATTAAGTCTTCTTTCAAACATTGGAATAGCTATAGTTATGAAGAGGTTGTCGCTGACTTCGAGCATGTTGCTCGACAACAGGTTGGTTTTTTGATTGAAAATTGAAGATATCATCAGTCGAGTTTTGGAGAGAATTAGTTTTTAAATTTTGCAGGTATTCCGTGCATACGATCTATATAGAGAACATCAGAAAACGAAGTCTGTTGAGGAGGCATGGAACTCGGCTTCTATTGAGTTGTGCAAAGCTTCTAGGGTTTGCAATTATTATGGTTCAACGAAAGTTAATTTTTCAGTGGCATGTAAGATTATACTTGGTTAAGAATTTCTTGAACAAAGTTCGGAAGGCATCCGATAAAACGCTGAGTGTACCTCTGACATGTCTATCGAAGCTCTACGCTTTCGATCTGATTGCACATTCAGAAGGAGAGTTCTTAAAAGTATGCTGGCCGGGGATGCATCTTGTAGTGAATTGTTTTCTTTAGAATGGATATATGAACGAGAACCAAATCAATAATATAAGGGAAGGCATTTATAACTGTCTCGCTGGTATTAGACCAGATGCAGTTGCACTTGTCGACAGTTGGGATATCGACGACAGAGAACTGAAATCTGTACTGTAATTAGTTTGATACCAAATTATATATCGTTTTTGAAGGTGCTAGGACGTCGAGACGGTAACGTCTATCCTGCTCTCCTAGAATGGGTACAACAGAGTCCATTGAATAAAACTGAGGTTTAGTTGGACTTCTAATGATATTGTACTAATAATAATTTAAGGTTTTATCTTCTTACCACAAATATCTTGGACCAATGATGAAAGATGCAAAGTCGAAGATTTAACTTTTTATTTTCTTTCAAATGAATTCTTACATGAAACAACAGAAAATTGTATGAGGAAAGCTCTAAAGTTAGAAATGCTTTCTCAACAAATGATAATAACAGAACGCTGTCAATAATTGTCTAATCTCGCTTCCCTCTATATCTACAATGTTCTAGTAAACTTTCTCTTTCTTCGGCGCTTGTCAGAGATGATGAGAATTAGTTTGGTTTGGTTTTTTCATGGTCCAAGTCATGCGATGATTCATAGAAAAAAGCCGCACGCCAAAAGCCACGCAGCTGCCAAACGGTCTTGCACTATTTTATGAAAAAACAGTTTCTTAGAAGTACTCCCTCTTTAATTCTGGTTTTTTCGGAAGCAAAATTATTTTTTTGACAGTATTCAGTTATTCTCTCGTAATTGGTTAGTAGCAGTTTCATGATTCTACTTGGATTTGTAAGAATCTCTTGATAGCTTTCACAAACTTTCTAGTTTGTTCTCTCTAGTAAGATGGACTTTCCAGATTATTCTGTTTTTCTATTTCTGATCTACTCCTTCTTCCTTTTACAGTCATTACTGCTCTCTGTACCAGCGGGAGTGGTTCGTTCCATATCTCTGAGTGTTAGATCATAGTATTTGCAACCAGTTGGTTCTGAGTAAAGAGAGAGCAGTTAGGTTTTGTGGTTTTTCATTTGTTCAAATTTACAAGAGTCCGCTTCCAGGATAAGACAATCCTCATTCTTGAGTATGAGATCATAGTTTTCGTAATCACTTCTATCAGTGTTGAGAGAGACGTTAGGTTTTGAGCTCTCTGGTTCGTTCTAACTTTCCAATTTCGTTTGACTGACAAGAAAGCCCACTTTCTGGATTGGCAGTTGGTTTCTGTCGTTTTTGATTTGTTTGAACTCACAACAGCGAGTTCAAATATAGGACTGTCCTCTTCTTTGAGTATGAAGATCACAGTTTTCGCAATGAGTGAATTGTGAGTGAGGAGAAGGTAGTTAGGCTTTAAGGTTCTCATTCGTTCGGACTCTGTTTGATTGAACTTCTCAAGATTCATTTTATATCAAAGAGCGTTTCTGCTATATCGGAGAAAATCTGTGTGAATTGTTCTGTCTGTTTGGGTTTTGAAGATGTAGTTGTTCGTGAAACTAGAGACACGGAAAATAGTGAGAGGGTTGGGAGAGTGCTCCTTCAAAAGAAATGAAGGGTTATATCCAATTTTTTAAAAATATGATCGAAGAACTAACAATTTAACTTTGACTTTCTTGAAAACTCATACACTTCCTGCATCGTACTTCGTGTCCGTGCCCTCTTGCCGTTACTTTACTGTTTTTACCAGCCGGACACCAATTTCTTTGGTAGCTGAAGAGATTGAACCGACTAGCTACTACACGACTAGGTCGTACACAGCACTTGTACACGGATGGTGTAAAACGGATGGTGTGTCAGCACTTGTACACCATCCGTGTACAAGTGTCAGAAAAAATTTTAAAATTTAAGTTTTTAAAATATCCCGGATCTGAAAAGCATTTCAATACAGATCTTCTTTTTCATTTCAATGGTCGTTTTTTGAAGTTGTAGTTTGATTGTGGAGATTGCCGTTGTGTGCTCGACCTTCTGAGTTAATCTCTGATTGAGTTCTGCTCCTCCATTCAACTTACAGGACTATTGATTAGGAACCTTTGTAACTTTTTCTTCCTTTTTTTTAATTGCAATAAGGTAACTTCAAGCGTGTTCCTTGACACTTTTCCTGACTTGTGCGCGCTG